AGGCTGCTTGAGATGCCGTCTCGCTTTACCAGGGTTTGCCAGACTACTCTTCTCCAATACATATCCTGCCATTCGAGCTCAGCCTAAGCAGCATAACACATGCGTGTTCGAGGTAACCACTATGTGATCACTTAACCTACCTCTGTGAGAGGCTCGTCCCCTTCCGACAGGACGAACTTGTCACGAGCAAAGATGCATGAGCAAGCACAATGTTGAGCTAGTGGGATGATACACCAGGGACAGCTGTGAAGCAACCGATAACTCAGCGGTTTAACAGGGATGAACCCGGCCGGACTTAGGAGAACAAGTCGGTGGCATAGCTCGGGGTTTCTAGACAGGGAAGGATTCAATCTATGCTGTTCACCCTGTTGTGCTCACTTATCAACGAAGCTAATGGCCACCGCTCCTCCGAAGCTGAATCCGATCAGGCTTATGGTTAGTCCACAGTCAATCAGTTTTAAGTAATCCATGAGGAAATAAAGCTGGTCTACAAAGAAGTCCAAGTCGTAGGCAGCTCGCTGTTTGCAGCAGTATTTGCCCGCTCCTATACAGTGGGCCACAGGAGGAGCGTTGGAGAGCCCGTGCCCATACATATCATACGTTAGAACCTGTAAGAGGATGGTTGGAAGGTTCCGGAAGCCCGACCCGACTTACCATGCGGCTTCTCGAGAGGACTTGAGCTAGATCAGAGAAGAGCATCTTCGACCCATTGAGGCCATGTAGACAAACCGCAAGCTCTTTCGTGTTATGCTCTCTGCCCAGCAGTTGATATGAGACGCAGCCGTACGGCCCTGAGGATTGACACTGTGCTCGCGTAGCCTGACTGGTCCTCACCATCGACACTAGTCGTTTCGGGAAAGGGGCACTCTATGTCCCTAAAGGCTACCGGAACGCGCCTTTGTGAGTACAGCCTTGGGCCGTGAGTCGCCCTCTCTGGTTCGGGGGTAGTCGAGGAGTGCGACGAACCCCTGGTCTGGACTGCTGGTAAAGAGAGGTCTTCAGTGCTCATACCAGAGTCGATCGCGCTTGGCATGTATGAGAGTAGAAAGACTACCTGAGAGGCCGCTCAAGCATTCGTGGGGGAGGACGTGAGTGGGCCGATTCAGAATGAACGCAATGACAAAAGTCAATGCTTAACAACACACGG